TTAAGGGATTTATTACAGATCTTACACTTTACTCAGTGGTGGGAGAAGATATAAAGTGTAAGTCCAGAAGGCAAGGGTTGGAGGATCAGCTCCATTGGATGGGAAAGGGACCTCATGAAGAAGTCTATGGATGACCGTTGACTCTGCATTTGCTGGTGAACTCAAAGTCGCTATAGGTCAGCAGGGCCTACAGTAAGGAAGAAAAGCTGGATACAAAAAAGGAGTAGAACAAGAGAGACCAATTCTGCAAAGATGAAGCTAAATCAATGAAACCACTGGAATGTGTGTCTGTCTCTCAACACTTACTACCTCCACCACACTGGCAACCTACACATGACACCAATACTTGTCATCACAGAGCTACACACGCTCCTGGCCTACATCTCAGAGAAGCTAAAAGGGTGATCTGGAGAAGCTGCAAGCACAGATGATGCCCCCTCCATCCAACAAGATGAGCCCGCAGACTAGTATCGAACTCTCTGTTTGCTGTTCTGTAGTAGAGATTAGCCACTAAGAGTACATCCTATGTTAGATAGTACAGGAATAGAAGAGGAGGGAATGGAAAGGAACTGATTTATATATGTGAGTGCGTATATACATATATATAAAATAAACTGAGTGGCACAGTCAGTTAAGTGTCTGACTCTTGGATTAGGCTCGGGTTGTGATCTCAGGGTCATGAGATTGAGCCCACTGTTGGTCTCCACACGCAGTGGGGAGTCTTCTTGAGATTCTCTCTCTTCCTCTGCCTCTGCCCATCCCTCCACCCATGCTCATGCACTCTCTCTGTCTAAAATAAATTAATCTTAAATATATATTACAATTGCTAATATATATGCAAATTCATATCAAAATACATAAGAAATCAGCATAACTATTACAGTTCCTATTTCTGATTGTTCATATAGTTGCATTTGTTATGTGTACCTTCCTTCTTCCACTACTTATCACACATTCTCTTTGCCTCAGAAGCAATTTGGCAACTTAAGCTTCCTCACCTGGTGAGGTGACTCAACTCTTCGCTCTTAAAGTATTTGGGCCATTTTACTAGATTATTGTGGGTTTTTTTTTTTATTAACTCCTATCACAGTGACAAAAGTTTCTAAGAGGCACCCCCAGGACATCTGTATTCCAAACTCTTCCCAGCCCCACACACCATAGTAGCAACACAATTAAGGGATAATTGAGATAAACAACCCAGTCGCCATGGCACCTCTTTATGTACCTGCTGATTCACTAGCGTGAGAAATCCTAAGTATCAGTCTCAATTTCCAAATTAAGGGAACCAGTGCTGTGTCCCTAGTGGAAGTATTACTCCCTTGGGAACTCGGACTTCTAAATCAGCAGAGTCTAAAGTCACTGGGACAAGGAGCCAATATTTTGCTAGTGGATTGCTAGAGGAACAAAGAAAGAATCCACTCTCATCTTCACTCCTTGATTCCAGGACCTATGAATCCTAGATTTGGGGAAAACAAGACCATATATTGGACACTGACATAAAGCATATACTACCACTGGGGCACCTGAATCGTGCAGTCGATTAAGTGCCTGACTCTTGGTTTCAGCTCAAGAAATGATTTCAGGGTCATGAAATCAAGCCCCTCATCAGCTCCATGCTCAACAAAGAGTCTGTTTAAGACTTTCTCTTCCTCTCTGCCTTCACCCCTCACTTGCTTGCCCACTCTCTCTCTCTCTCTCTCTGTAAAATGAACAAATCTTTAAAGCATATACCACCATACCCTGAAGAATGCTGTCCCAGCACTGCTGTGTGCTGTCATATAGCTGGTGCTATAATAACATCTTCAAAAGATCATTTCACCACTCTATCTGGTCTCTACTAGCTATTATAGAGGGTTAAAAAAATCATTTTCCAGGTAAATAGCTACATACCAAGTTATGAGAGTATGTAAGTTTCCTCCAAAAGTCACATCTGGAACAGCAGCTAGAATTGGAGTTAACATCCAATTAAGTGTATGCTAATCCACTGACATTCTCCAAGATCCATCTGTCTGCTGTACAAGCCAATATGCAACTTGTGTGAAGATACGAGTCACCATTTTGCAAGAGCCCAATGGTTGCCATATTCTCTACAATTGCTTCAAATGTGTACTCTTGCCTTTGAATTACTCTTTTGGTAGACAGAAAAAGTTCTATGAGCTACCACATGGCCTTTCTTATTAAAATCGCCACCATTCCACTGGTTGGGGAACTAATGTAGGGACTCTGCCAGTTGGCAAGGATGCCTATTTTACGCATTCTCAAACTGGGGAAATAACCATAGGATGGATTCAAGGACCTACTGGTCCTCTTATATCCAAATCAAAATTCCATTGATTACCTTGCACCCATAAGCCCCTTCTCTGACTATGGACCACAATGCACCTGGAGTTTCTAGAAATAAGTATCAGTCATGAGACCAGTATCCAGGAATTGCCAAAAATACTTGTTATTTCCCCTTCTTCGATTTTCTATCCTGGTAAGTAACAATAGATCCTTTAAGGAACATTGACATTTCCAGTATAGGATGTTGGCTATGTCAAAGGATCACTCCTCAAGGGAACCTTGCTTCCCCTTCACTCAAGGACCTCTGGATATGGAAACTGGCTCATGTCTCGGAATTAATCAAAAAGATATGGCTCTATTGTTGTTATTCAAGTCAGATTTTTGTTCCAAACAGAATTTAGAATGGTAGAATTCTAAATGGTGGTAGAATTTTCCACTTAAACAATTCCAGTAAGACTTTAAGAAGCTATAAGAATATTTCCATTTGACAGACAACACCATGATTATAAAAGATCTATCTCTTTCTCTCTGCAGATCAAATTCTGATTACTGAATTTGATTCAGCTCTGCTGTTTAATATGATAACCATGCCCACCTTTTTTTTGACAATTAAGGACCACATTTTAGTCCCTGACATCCAGGATCTCATCATTTTCTTTGAATTCTAACAGCCCATTTTGATGACAGCATACCTACTGTCAGCCTGACCTATAAAGAATAGCTACTACAGAGGTCTTCAAGGATACCGGGCTACTTTACAAATTACTTCTTATACTTTAAATGCACAGAGTAGGGGCACCCGGGTGGCTCAGCATCCAGCTCTTGACTTCAGGTCATGATCTCAGGATTGTGATACTGAGTCCCATATTGAGGTCCATGCTTAGTGGGGAGTCTGCTTTAGATTCTTTCTCTCCCTCTGCCCTTACCCACCCTCTGCTCTCTCCCTCTCTCCCTCAAAACAATAAATAAACCTTAAAAAAAATAAATGCAGAGAGTGTTCTGTGGAACCTCCTATTAAAGTAGTTCAGGGTTGGTTGCATAGGTCTTACATAACATACCACCTCTTACATTACAATTTCCTAAGCCTTTCCTGGGCCTGCAGTACATCAAGAAACTCCTGAAATTTCAACTTCAATTAGCGTAGGTCATCTTTGGGCCTATGTTTCAATAAACTAGCCAAGTACTCTTAGAGTCATACTAGCTGCATAAGCTAAAACATGAAACCCAGAATCTCTGCTTAGTTCATCCATATTGAAAAATTCAGCCCATTCCATGATTCTATTCTCTCACACTCTTCTTTAATATACTTTTTTTATTTATTTATTTATTTATTTATTTATTTATTTATTTATTTACTAGAGACACAAAGAGAGAGAGGGAGACAGGGAGAGATAGACAGGCAGAGAGAGAAGCAGGCTCCATGCAGAAAGCCTGACACAGGACTTGATCCCGGGTCTCCAGGATCATGACCCTGGCCGAAGGCGAGGCTAAACTGCTAAGCCACTGGGGCTGCCCTCTCATACTCTTCTACCTTAGGATTCATTCCCATATGTATGCCCCAGGATTCTGTCAACAAAAATTGGTAAAATCAGGGTGCCTGGGTAGCTCATTTGGTTGAGCATCTGATTCTTGATCTCAGCTCAAGTCATGATCTCAGGGTCATGGGATCCAGCCCCATGTCCAACTCTGCACTCAGCTTGAGATTCTCTCCCTCTGCCTCTCCCCTTGTTCTCTCTCTCTCTTTCTCTCTCTCTCTCTCTCTCTCTCTCTCTCATAAATAAATCTTTTTTAAAATAAATGGTAAAATCTTGCCATTATCTTCTAGTGCATGGCAAGATTTCATATGTCACATTTTGTATCTAACCCTCAGGCTGGCCCCAGTATCTTAGTCTGGTTATAGATCTAGAAGATATTGAATGTAAGTCGGTCTTGAGAAGGATTAGTGGTGCTTTGCAAGGCTTTTATCTTGAAGGAGACTTCTTGTCCTTCAGAGAAGTGGAAACCAACCTTCACACATAATGGATGAAAAGCCTCTTCTTTTGGCAAAGAGGTTCAACAGAATTAAGAAATCTAATGTCTTCAGTTTTATCAGGATCTCTATGTATGTTCTCATCTCAATTTTTTAGTTTCCACTTCTTCCAAATCCATGTAACCAACATAAAAAACTTGGCAAGGTGGTGAATTTAATTTGCATTGAAATTCAGACAACTTCAGGCCTAGACTTTAGGTTTAGTCTTCAGAACTCTCAGCCCTCTGTCTATGTTAAATGAAAGTTTACTTAGGTCAGTCAGATGCATTCTAAGCATCTGGAGACTTGAGACTACCATTTTCTTTCTTTTTTTTAAGATTTTATTTATTTATTCATGATAGTCACGCACACAGAGAGAGAGAGAGAGAGAGAGAGAGGCAGAGACATAGGCAGAGGGAGAAGCAGGCTCCATGCAGGGAGCCCGAAATGGGACTCAATCCCGGGTCTCCAGGATCACACCCTGGACTGAAGGTGGTGCTAAACCGCTGAGCCACGGGGGGTTGCCCCACCATTTTCTTTTTTAAAGTTCTGTACACTTAGAAACAGCCAAGTATCTAGCAAGACACTGTGCACAGTCACCAGTTCCAGTGAAGGACTCTAAATACTCCTGCCCATTGCAACTTGGTAACAGAATCACCAGGGGAAACACAATGCAATCAAGCACTGGAAGGAACAATGATTTACTCACATAGAGAAGAGAGAGAGCAAGATCAGCCTCGGTAGTAGGTGGTCCTTCATGGGTCATTCTTGGCAGCCAACACAGGGCAATTTGTTCACATATGTCCCTCTTGTACTTCAGTGGAAGGATCTCACCCCCTCTCTCAGAGGACAAATATACAGTGAGGTTGGCCAGGGTCCATATGATGCTGACTCTTAAGCCGAACAGAAGAGAATACTTTGGGCTTACAATGAGATAGAGATCTCCCATGAGATCATAAGCCTGGCACAAGCTGTGTGAGCTCATTATCTCCTGGTAAGGAACTGTCCAAGGCCCAAAGCCCATTCTTGTGAGACTAAATGAGGGGTTGAAAGATGTGCCAACTTGTCTTTCCTAGCACGGAACATCAACATTTTGCCATAGCATGTCACGGACTACAGTATCCCCTCTCTTGTTGACAACAGTGCCATTAGTGCTGCTAACCTTTATCAGATCAGAAAAATACTTCCAGATAACCCAGAATTAATAGAGACACTATTCTCAAGGTTCTGTTCCTATGGCAGCTCAAAAAACACAGGCCACACTTGGCACCATTCTGTGAGAAGTAAAGGGGAAAAGCCTGCTTCTATTTTGAATTTTGTTCAGAATGATCTATTTTACTCAGCAGGTGAAGGTTACAAAAAGAAAACATTAAATTTCAAAGTTATAGATACTGAACATATTCTTAAAACCCATGAAATTTAATTAAGCAAAAATATAAAGAATATTCAGAATCTCCGATGTTTTCATTATTGTATGTTTCAAGTCTAGAAAAGATTTTTTGAGAAAAATAAAGAAAAGAAATGACAATGTTTTCAATATATTGTTAGTATTAATGACTAGCATTGAATGCCTAGAAAATAAATGAAAGATGGCTACACCACCACGCTTACTAGGAAAAGCGATTTTCAAAAAGGCAATGCATTTGATTAAGCAGAGCATATGGTATAGATGGCAATTAATACAGACCCTGTGGTGCAATATTTGCCTGTATATATGTAGCAAAACATCCTTTTTCACATCATCCTCTTACAATAAAATGCATTTGCAGCAGAAGTTAAGTGAACCGTCAGTTCAGCAAAAGCCAATGATTGGTATATTTGCATCTCTTTTGGTATAGAAAAGATCTCATCTCTCCTTTCTCAGGAGCTTTCAAAGGCAGAGTTTTTTAAAAAATAAAAAAAGGCATAAAAATCCTCTTTGAGACTGCTTTTAAGTTGATTAGCTGATATGTAAGGATTATCAGATATTGCCCGGTAAAGTCATTAGACCTTATATCCCTTTCAGGTCCTGAGAAACTCTACCTTCAAAACCAACTCAAACTACTTGAATAGAGAACAGAATTGAATGTGGTTATCCTAATGATGCATTCCTTAATATCATACAAAGCACTAGCATCCAACTTGTCCTTTCAAGTGCCCTACTCACAGTGCCAAGCAAATGCGGGCAGGTCCTTCTAAGCTTACTCTTTCTAGGTATAGATTCATGAAATTGTGCCAATGTATTCACTGTGATTGGCTCCTTGCAAATGCTCTCTTTAAATGCGTTGTATTTGCCGATAAATGCATGTCCCAGTGAATTATGTCTGGTAGGTCAATTCCTTCCTATGAGATAAGAATCTTTTTATTCTATTCACTTTTGTTTATAAATGCAAACTTTGCTTAAGTCTATTTAAAAAAAAAACACCTTAGTGCATTTCAGAATATGATCCAATTATACTAGTTTGTCTTTGGGTCCATTCAACCTTTTCAAATATTAACTTTTGCTGAACTCCCTCGAAGTAGAGTCATATTTTAAGACAGCAGGATTGGTAAAGTGCAAGGTCACATTGCAAAGTCAGTATTAAAGAGAGCAAAGATTCTCAAATTAACTGATTTCTCTGCTCTTTGGTGAAATTAGACATTCCCCTTCTACTCCCCCCTACCAAGTCAAAGATCTATCTCACTTCCACAAGGGCCTCAATCCCACCAGGTCTGATACTAACGAAGAGGAAGAGCTTCATCTAGATAACCTCATCACAACAGAACAGACACCTTACAAGTTCATTATTATGGCAAAGGTCAACAAAGGCCTCTATAGAGAACTGGCACATGTGAAAGATGTAGCTCATCAGGGGGTTAGAAGGCAAGGATGTTCAATTGTTCATAATCACCTTACCATCCTGCAGCTATCAATAAGAGAGAGGTATTATCAATACATTTTCAAGTCTTTTTTTGTTCTAAAATAGGCTCTTCCACCTTGTTATGTAGAAGAATAAAATATATACAACAAAGTGCTGAAATCATGAATGTATGACTTGATGAATTCTCCCAAGCTGAATACATCAGTGATCATTATGTAGATCAACAAACAGAACACTACCAGCACCTCCAGTGTTAGTTTCCCCTTATTCTGAACCATTATAGTAAAGCTGGCTACAAAGGAGTCAGTGCCAGGATACTTCACATACTTGAGCTATATAAGCTATTTATTTCAGACTAGCATATAGAACTTTTAGAAGATGTAACATACCTCAAAATATATCCAAAATGCTACCACTTCTTGCCATCACACATCACTACCATCTCTCACTTAGAATTTTACAAAGATCTCCCAACTAATAATCCCTGCTCTTTTATCGCCCTTCAGAATATTAAAGTACCAGCTAAAGCGAATATTTGTAAATAGACATCTCATCAGTTCATTCAGATTGTAGCATTCTACTATTAATAATGATGTTTCTCAATCTTGGCTGCACACTGTGGGATTTAAAACTATCATTGCCTAGGTTTACCACCAAAGATTTTAATTTCATTGGTCCAGGGAGTGTCCTGAGCTTCCCACATGATTCTACTATCCAGACCTTACTCTGATCTCAAAGCCCAATCATGAGGCCCACATTCCCTCTCTAATTTTATCTCTTACTATAGTTCCTCATTCACATGATCCCATACAATACGCAAGCTCCTACCTCAGGGCATTACACTTGCCCCTCCATCTTCTTCAGTCGCTCTTCCAGAGATAACTAGCTCCTTCACTTGTTTTAGGTCTTTACATAAAATTCTACTTTTCTGTGACCCTTTCACTGGCTGCCCCTAATATCTTATACCTCCTTTCCACAATTTATATTCTCATCAGTGATCACTGTCCAACCCACAATATACTTTCTTTCTTTCTCTTGCTCTGAAAGAACAGAGCTATCTGCCTGCTTGTTCTGTGCAATGTCCTAATTCATAGGACAGTGAGTACCTCGTACACAGATACAGCTCAAGAAATGTTTATTAAATAAATGAATGATGTTTTTAAGTAATGGAAACCCTGTTAGAGAGCTTTGAATCAGCATTTAACAGCCAATAATGGGACACTAGTTGTGATCATAAGCATTAAGTACATTCTAAACCAAAACTGGTTAAATGAAAACAACCCAGTTAAGAAGGTGTAATTTGCCACAAAGTAATGATATGCTCTCTGCACTTCATTCTTCAGACAAAAGAAACCTCTAGAGAAAGATCATACCTTCTCCTACAGAGCTTTTGGGACTGCCAGACATGTAAAAGCTTCCAGAAATATATATATATATATCAGAAGTGGGAATGGATTAGAATTAATCTTTCTCTTGCATATATATTTTTTATATTTTCCTTGTAATTCACTCATCTTGGATATTAGAAACTGCTTAACATATTATTATAGAAGTGCACTCGTTTGTAATGATTGCTTTAAAGTACATTGCATGGTATCCACTCCACCCACCAACTCTCCGCTGCCTCAAGAGGACTTTCCTAGAGAAATTTATCCCTGATTACATTTATTTTTTTCCCCAAGAGATAGATCTTGAAATAAGAGCTCCTGAGCTTTCTACTCTGCCTAAAATATTAGGCTAAAATGTTTTCCAAAATATCAAACTGATGAGAAAAGAAAGAGATGGGGAGAGAAACTCATCAACTCATCAGTTCAGCAAAAGAACAGATCAGCAAAAACAGGGTTGTTTCCAGTTGTACCTGTAAACACTACTGACAAGAACTAAGTCACAATTCCACTGAGCCCTGCTTTCCTCTTGCTCAAAGGAGCTAATCCATTGTTCATTTCCACCTGCCTCAGAGACAGTGAATTGCTAAAGCTTATATTTGAAAAAATTATTACAGTCTCTTGATATTTTGGTATTTTTATTGTTATCACTGTTAATCACACAAAATAAACTGTGATGCTTTATAGTTCTGATACCCACACTGATCTTCAATCTTTCTGAACACTCAGTAAAATTCCTGGTTGTCTCAATAAATATTTGATAAAATAATAAAGCTATCAAAGTTCTGAATTCTTTTCTACTTCCTGCACATTCAACTTCATGTAGGAATTTCTGATTATAGAAATTGCATAAAAGGAAGCCTCTAAAATTTGGGTTCCTTCTTATATTCTGTTTTAAGGATGAAATCCCATTCTGCTAAATTATAAACCAAACAATTCATTTTTCTTCATTTTTCTCTTCTCATGCTCCAAAGAAAATCCTATTTTGTAGTATTCTATCAGTTAGAATATCTTAATGAATAAATACTTTAAAGGATAAAAAATAACCAAAAGTTCATCATTTAAATTTCATCGTTAGAGATAACAAATGCTACAGAGGGTATGGAGAAAGGGGAACCCTCTTGCACTGTTGATGGGAATGCAAACTGGTGTAGCCACTACGGAAGACAGTATAGAGGTCCTCAAGAAATTAAAAATAGAACTATCATGTGATCCAAACATCCCACTGCTGGGTATACATTCAAAGGAAATGAAACCAATTATCTTAAAGAGATATTTGTAATCCCATGTCAATAGCCGCATTATTCACACAATAGCCAATGTGGGAAACAAATTAAACGTCCATCAACAGATGAATGGATAAAGGAAATGGGAGATAGATAGATGATTGATAGATAGATAGATAGATAGATGATAGATAGATAGATTGATTGATTGATTGATAGATGATAGATGATAGATGATATCAACGTGGATGAACCCACAGGGCACAAGTGAAATAAGCCAAAGAAAGACAAATACCACATGATTTCTCCACTTAGGAGGAATCTTAAAAAAAAAAAATTATATAGGTCTAGGGACGAAAGAAAGGTTGAAAAAGGGTACAAATTTGCTGTTATAAGACAAATAAGATCTGAGGAT